CACATACCCCGGCTAATCACGCTGTTGAAGTACTACTTCCAAATTTCGGTTCAAACTAAATCATCACTGGTCCTTGTACAACAGGGGCGAGTTGGACTGCGTGTTTGAGCGCTTTAAACGCGTCATCACACTCCTTAGTCCACAAGTCTCCTAGTTTGCCTTTATGGCATCTTAAGTGTCCAAAAGGTTTAAGGTAATCAGCCAAGTGTAATCTCTGAACCTGTATTGTTTACCTTTCCACGTCAAACTAAAGTATTTACGATGTGGTTCATATACCTGCATTTGATAGTATCCTTGTGTAAGGTCTATAGTTGTAAATACTGTAGCACCTTCCATCCTTCGTAGTCGCTCGTTAATACGAGGTAACTGAAAGCTATGAGTCGGCAAAAATTTATTTATTTGACTCATATCTAAACATACTCTGACTTTCTTAAGCGATCCGTTAGAGTTATGTTGATCTACGGCTAGTAGTGCCAAGTTGACTGGCGTCTGTTGATAGTTAATTTCTATCACACCATCTGCTAGCCATTTCTCAACTTGTTCTTTTACCACCGCCTCGTATCTCCAGGATACATAGTTCCTTGAGGGACACTTTAACTGTGTAAAGTCCACCTTGGTTAAGTCAAGGCTGACATATCCGTCGTTAAAACATAATTTTGCCGAATCTGTGATCTCTATCTTCTTATATACTAGAATCAGATCCATGATTTTGTTCGCAAAGTCAGGTATTAATGCCTTGACTGTGTCTGACGGGGGCTAATATGGATTAATAACCGTTAGGGGCCAATTGGTGCATGTCATACCCACACTGTGCGTCGGCACATTTTTTAATCTCCTTAAATAGAGGTTCCTTGTCCTTCACCTCCGCGCGTGCCCGCTTATTGGGTCGCGTTGATTGAGTGGAGTCGCGAGCACGTGTCTGGTTAGGACGCGTCTGATGAGGTTTATCATCTGACGTCTGGCGTGAGAGGTATCCTTGATCAGTGAGCTCGCGCAGTTTCTTATTTACTGCCTTTCCCTTCGAGGCTGAGTGACTACAGGTCTCAGGCCAGATTTTACAGCAAGAAACCATCTTTGATTTATGGAAGTCATCAGAATTAGTTCACTCCCGAGAGCTTAGTCATCAAAGTTAGCTCACTTCCGAGAGCTAATCAAGTTGCTCAAATTACTCTCAAGAGCTGAGTTATTACTTAACCGACTCCCGAAAACAGATTTAGTTTCTCAACCGATTCCCGAGAGTGGATTAAGCCTGTCAATCACAACATATTAATAAAAGCTGCGGTTCTATGTGAGTCACAACCTATGCGGAAAAGCATCATGTGATCAGCGTGAGATTTAGTTGCAGAGAAGTTGAAATAGAAAAGCATCGAAGTGTTAAAGTGTTCCGCATAAGGTTTCTCATACTGACCATATGAGGTTTTACCCTGGCCAGCCCAAGCGGCTGAGCACTAGCACAAACACCTTTGGTATAAAACCAAAGGTGAGGTCAGAAATAAATACATACATTTGCACTTTATTTAAAGTCTACTACATTGTACTCTAACAGAGGTTACTCGATGTGCGGGTAAAAGAGTCTTTACAGCATCATAAAAATGTTCCCACGTAAGTCGGGATAGATGAAACTTTGTTTCATGTCCCTTGTCTCAAGGCCTCAGTTGCGTATTTACGTCGCAACTCGGTGTACAGGCTTTCACGGTCGTTGTTCCCTATGTTCTTACAGAAAACATGTATAACCAGGAACTCGTACCATCGCTGCGCCTTGTCCTTTGTTATATCTGGACGTTTAAGGTCAGCATCAAGTTTCAGAATATCTCTATGAACAGGTGTATTCTCAACTGGTTCAGTTAAGATTGAAATCAGTCCTGGATTTCGCATGTCCTTGCTTAATAAGGACGTAACCAACCAAAACAAAACTGGCCAGTCACGACAAGTGTCTAGCTCATGCTGGTGTCGCTGCAGGATCAAGTAAATTGTTCCTGTAGGGTCAAACGACTGCATCAAAGCGGAAATCCATTGCTGGGGAGCGATATCATTCGTCTCCAACATGACCGTAAACGCATTAAGCGTACGGGTTAGCGTGTCGAGGTCATGGTTGTTTATAAACGCGACCTGCTTGCTGTTGGCATCCCAGTTCGACTTAAGTCGATTGATCTGTCCCTTGTACTTCTGGTTACCCCTGTGGTCTTGCCCACGTTGGGCCTGAAGTAGCTGATCGATGCGCTTCTGCTTGATCGCGATCATATTAGCAAAATATGATATGTCATCAGCATGGTGCTCGTCATGGGCGATTTCCATCTGATGAACTCTCCACGGTACCCGCTTAATCAATGTCAGACTCTGAAAACATGCTCAGTGACTTTGGACAAACAGACGCCGAAGGAATGACCATCTAACTCACAGGGCAGTTATTGGTTGGAAAACCGGTAGAAGATACAACTGCATTCATTTATCTTAGACTGGCATAAGAATGCGCGAATTTCACAAGCTAGATCCTATTTACACGTAAAAGGGCTTCCACAGAGCTCTGCAAAAAGAAGGCTAAGGCGCTATTAGACTTATTGTGGAGAATGCACGAAAATTGCAATCTATGTTTATTGCTCTTATTGCACACACACGAGAATAGGACTTGGAGGGCAACGCATACCGACATATATTAGCATGCATGAAGTCGAAGCCTTCGGGTACGCCCCGATACACAGATTTGTGATTTTGAACGCAAAGTAGGTTTATGGAGATGCGACAGTAAGATACCCCGCCGTCATAAACAGGGCTACCACAATCACGGTGTGCTTTGCCTTATAAGTCATGCTGCGGAGGGAGCGTACTGACGCAGTACTCTTCGCATGCATCCACATTGGCAAGAATACTTATCCGAGCAGATCGGGACGTATTTTACGTGAGCATTGACAAAGCTGAGCATTGACGAATCAGAAGAACATCGTCGAGAAAATCTATCGCGACCGCAACAGGGGTTTGACGTTCACGCTCATACTTGGGTGCTGATGCAAACATACGAGCTAACCTCCATGCGCCAGGTGACAGGGCTCCTATACAACATATATCACTGATAGTAAAGTATTAAATAGTTTGCGAGGGACCGACGATAATCTAACTCAAAACCGCTCAAGAATGGGCACGCCACTATCATCAAAACTATCACTTGAAACTTACAATACAGCTTTCCGCATTCGTTCGGCGTGAGCATACACCGCATTTATAAAAGCATCTTCATCCTTGAACGTCTCGTTACTCTTCACTGTTCCTAGGTAAAGAGCGTAAGATTCGTGCTCCAACCCATCACGGTCCGGGATATCCACACAAAACCCATCGCGAAGAATTCTAGAAGATAATGTGAGGCAAAATGTAACTCAACCCCTACAAGTCAAATTGATCTAGGTCATATGCATTTTTTCAAATAATCAAAACACAAGTCATGCAGAGTTAGATGAGCAATAGTCTACACATAATTGAAAGAAAAAAAATCGACATACATACTTAACAACCGAATGAATGAATTAACGTATCTTTCATATTCTCCCCTTTATTTGTCTGCTCGTGATATTCTTTCTCTGACACTTCCAGTATTTACAGGTGAAATCAAATTCTGTAGAAGCTGAATGCTATTGAATTCGGCCATGTCATCTTGAAAACCCTCTAAAAAAGTTTATCTTTCATCTCTTGTCATAGAAGGGATAACACGTGATAGCACCTCCACCCTTTCTCTTTTAGAGCTGATTTGGAACATGTGGGTAAGTTTATCTACGAGTTCTTTACTCGGGAGGTCATCCTGCAACCCTAAAGTTTCATTGAGCTCAGACCAACTCGTTCTTCTCCGTATGTTCTGATCATTGTCGTATTCATACAGTTCCTCTATTGAGATAATAACATCAGTCAGAAACATATATGTCTCAGATTCTGATCCTATAGTAGATCTTGCTTCTGAATCGGCACTCAAACTGATGTAGTCATCGACGGTCTCTCTTGTAGATTCGAAATCCTGGTTCTGGTCCACAACACTGGATTTGCTCTTATCGTCGTCCAAGATGTGAAAACTGACTGATTCAACAGCAACATCTTCAAATGTAATACTACTATCCATAGAGGTACGATCTTGCTTTGCTGCATTCCAACAGAAGTTGAAGAATGAGTGAATTTACGTTCTCTCGTTATATATATCTTGAGCAGTTGATTCAACGGGCTGATCTAGGAATTGGCGCGGATTCACTAAAAAAAAAAGACAAATTAAGCAGTGTGTGTACACCGCAGTCGAAATTATTGTCTTGGCTTGATACCTCAAGATGGATTGGAGGGACTAATATAAGTATATTCTCGATATACAGCTTAAAGTTAAAGGTTGACTCAATCCTTTATTTGTAATAATACGGTATCGTTGAACCATACATGCTATCCAGAATGTACACTGGCACGCAAGGATATACCAGTTGCTTGTCCATATCCAACACCATAAGGGACCAATGGACATGGCCAGGGTTTACAATGAATATCAGAAACTGAATGCCTATATATATATATA